GGCATGCCGGGCCGCGCGCCAACCTCGGGACCTCCAATTCGTGGCTTCTCGTCTTCGACAACTCGCCGTTCCCTGAGCGGGTGGCGGCGGAGTGGCAAGCGGGGTCAGCCGACGGCGAGTGGCAAGCAGCTCCAAACGTGCACTGCCTCGCCGGTGCCGGTGCCGGCCTCATGCACGAGTGCCTTCACAAAGACGTGATGTACAACCCGTCGCCCCCTGCAGAGCGCCCAAGCCCGTGCGGCGTGACGGACACGCTCTCGCCGGAGCCCGCGACGGGGCCGTCGGCACCGCCCGACGAGGACGACGACCAACTGGCTTTCACTGCCGCTACCGTCAAGCGGGTGAACTCCATTGGCGAGGAGCTCGGCCTGAAAGGCCTCGGCGTTGCGGCGACAGTCCGCGAGGCGGCGGCCATGCTCCTTATCGACGCGGCAGGGGCACGGACGACGCGGCTCCTCGTCGACGAGATTGAGCGCGTGCTCGGCGTCAAGCGCAGCGGCTAGGGCCTCTGCGCTGAACGCTCTCTGCCAAGGTTTGCATGGGAGCGCCGGGCGCGTGAAGCCGTGAGCGTGAGTCGGCACACCCACGATGGTGAGGGGCGGGGTGGGGAGCGCGAGCCCGCGGAAGCCTGGGAAGGGCGAAGAAGGCGCTGTGGGGATGGCACTCTGTCTCCCAAGCTCGAAGGCGTCCCGGCGCGGCTCGCCCCGGGGGCGCGGCGAGTCTCTGAGCGCCGGGCATAGTCTGAGGGTTAGGTTTCTGGGGCCTCGGGTGCTTTTACGCTTTTGATCGGGTCAGGGGAGAGTGCGACTTTAACACTTTGGTCGTCTCGGAGCGCCTAGCTATTAGCACTTCTCGGGTCCGTTGGCCTCTTTGTACTTGTAGAGGGAAGAAAAATTCGATACCCGCGTCAAGACGCCTGCTGGGCCCCTGGGGGCAGCTTCGAGAGCCTTTCGTCTCTGAAGACTGAACAGCCGTCTGCTCCCCACTTGTCAACAGCAGGCGCTGGCGCCATCAACGACAACCCTCCCTAGTGATGTTGACAGACACTATATTTATTGCCCACGACGCACAGTCCCGCAGCAACAGCCACAATGTCAATGAGAAACGAAGGATCTCTGAGAGATACTGACCTTAATGGGCCACACCACGCTCCTGCAATAGCCGCGCCTGCTCCTCGAGCTTTTCCTCCTTCTCGCCCAACAGCTCGAGTGCGACCGCGTGCTCGTCGCGCAACGCTTTGAGCCGCGCCGCCGCCCCGTGCGCCTCCGCCGCCTCAGCCTCCAGCTGCTCCATCCGCACCTGTTCCCGGGCGGGCGGCGTCAACAGCGCCTCCGTGCCTTCTCGCCGGCAGCTGCTCGCCGCCGCACGTGCAGCTGGACGAGCGAGTCAATGAGCGTCTGCTCCTTGGCCTGCATCGCCGCAACCAAGGAGCGGAGGCCCGTCAGCTCGCCCTGCTGCCGCGGGTCGAGAGGCGCTGCCGCCGCTGTGCCGCCGCCGCCGCCGCCGCCGCT